ACCTCATGTCCGCCCGAGGTGACCGAGTGTCCCGGCGGTGGTCACACTACAGTCGTAACTGAGACCATTCCCATCTCTACCACGGTCTGTCCTGTCACTGAGACTGAGGCTCCTCCTACAACCACTGCTACCACCAAGTGGACTACTTCCACCATCTACACCACCCAGACTAATACTATCACCTCATGCCCTCCTGAGGTGACCGAGTGTCCCGGCGGTGGGCGGACTACAGTCGTAACTGAGACCATTCCCATCTCTACCACGGTCTGCCCTGTCACTGAGACTCACGCTCCTCCTCCTGCTGGCAACCAGACGTCTACTCTCTACACCACCCAGACCTATACCATCACCTCTTGCCCTCCTTCTGTGCCCAGCTGCCCCGTTGGCAAGGTCACAACCACTGTCTACCCTACTGGCACAACCACCATCAAGGGCTGGACCTCTATCCCCGCTGTTCCTACTCATCCTACTGGAGTCCCCCCTGTTCCCACTCAGGCTACTCAGCCCACTGGCGCTCGTCCTTCCAAGACCACTCCGTCCTCCCCTCCCGTTGTCACTGCCGCCGCGGGTCACCTTGTTGGAAGCCTCGAGCTCGTTGTCGCCGCTGCAGGTGTTGCCGCTCTCTTCCTGTAAGGGGGAGTCGCAATATAGCCTCGCAAGGGCTTCGTTTTTAGATAGCTCATGATTCTTCTCAACCACTAAGCTTCTTTAAAAGAGTAACGATTTTGAATGTAAATATTAAGGTGGAAACTAAAGGATTCTAGCGGTAGTTGAAACAATGCCAAGCTGCTTCTGGGCGCCATGGATGAAAACGGTACAATGACACTTAACACTTCCCGGTAGGATTAATACAAACAGTATAATCTGAAAATGGACCACGTAAAGCATACATGTGATAAGGGAAAATAAGGCAAAGCAAAGACGACCTCTCGGTGAGAGGGAAGACCAAGTCTAATATGCTGTTGGGGAGGGGAAAGAGGGAAAAAAAGGAAGAAGGAGTGGGGGGGCTGAAGTATAATAGACAATGGAGACTCATAGAGTAGGAAAATTGAGTACTACGACTGAAGAGAGAGACTCGTGATTTTATATCTTACCAAGTCCAGGTGACTGTCTACTCCCTTTTTACTCAGCCAATGACCCCTCCACCCCTCCCATCATAATGTGTTTCTTTGTGAAAGATTGGAATAATAACTCAACTCATTTTCGACAGGCTTTGGTGTTCAAGGCCTTGATGATCAAAGAGCTCTATTTATACAAGAAGTCGGTGAGAGCCTTATGCCATAGGCCTCGTGAGCGTAGCCCCTGTGGGACCATGTGGCACGACCCGCGTTACAAACCAATACACGCGTATAATATTGTACTGTGCAAACATATTTTATCAGTGAAGTATGCTGGTTTACCCGTTACCTGCACATTTGGCAAGAAACTTACGGAGTACTGATAGGCTACTACGCAACCGTGTTGTGCTAGCTTGTCCTTGTTCGCTTCTCATTTTGCCCCTGGAGGCTGTTCTAAGATGGCTATTGCCTGCGGATCAAGCGGCTCGTCGGCTCTTTGGTCCAGGCTATGTGCTCACGTGGCTTCGCCGGCATGGACGGATACAACAATATACTATCATGTCACATGTGGCGACGAGATTTGACGGAAACATGGGAATTATGCTTTCGTTATATTGGACTGTTGGCTCCTACAAAAATATAGTTCAAGTTTGCTTGACGTTTGTCGAAACGCGGAGGTAGGGTGGGCCACGCTAGATAAAGACGGCAATGTGTGATGGTCAGTCCGGTTTGTACGTTTAGTGAGAACCACATTTCGGTACCATGTTGCTCAGAACACTGATCGGACCAGAAGATTGTTCTTTGGTCCGTGTAATTGTGTCAATAGGGTGTGAAAACTGAGCTGCATGTCGTACGGGTGGTAACCAACCCTCATGTTTCACGCGCGGACGTTGAGGGCTAGTTGGACCCGGAAGAATCAGATAGGGCGAGAAATGGGGTGGTTGTGTTTGCCGGATTGAGCGAATTTTGGTTGCTGCGGATGGGATACGCAATTTCCTATGCACCTCTAGTTTGCAACCGGAAATCTTGTACAGCTCCCGTGATGAGCAGAAGTGGTTCGCTGTATTGCCAAAGTTAGGAATCAGGGAGAATCCAGAGGATGCTCGTGCTGTTCATGTGGACGGTCACGGTAATGGGTTTTCGAGTGAACAATACGGCGCCTGGGAGGTGGGCCAAAGGCCGCCGAAGGTGCGTTGGGACCAGCAGGAAGGGCTGCAAAGCGTCATGCCAGATCCAAATCTGCCTGTGCAAGACGTCAGTGTGGTAGGTGTCTTAAATTAAAACCCCGAATGAACTAATTGGAGGGGGATTAGAGATGCTGGACAATGCCCGGGGACTGACAACCAAACCAGACGGCCATCGCTGGACTGGCAATGACGTGACACGCTGCAAGTCAAGGGGCTGTGTTGGTTCCGAGAGCGTTGGGCTGTTTTGACGTACTGCAATACTAGCACCTAAGTCGCGTGAACAAGGAGAAGCATGTGCCCCATGCGGGACATCGGGTATGGAGTCAGATTTCATTCCTTGTCTGTGAGATCAAATTGATCGTAACCGCGCTCGCGATTCGGTCTGCGTGTCAAACGGGTGGAAATCAGTTCTGCAGGGCAAAGCAGCCTATTCTGTCGCACGTTAGCCTAGCCCGGTATTAGAAATTGTAGGTGTCAATTGATATTACCCGACTTGAGTTCTATAGTCATGATAACGAGCATTGCAGATTCGTGAAACAGCACAGCCACGCTAGGAAGCCGAGCTCCCGACTATGTGGGCTTGCGGTCCTTGTCTGGGGTCATACAGCGCATGGCTAAATGTACTTTGTACGTGAAGAAAGCTTTGTATGTTTGTGCCGATTTATTGTCTTGCCTTCATGCCGTGGCCGGCTCACTGATTCTTTGGTTGAAGTGACTCCAGTCCAGAGTCGACAAGTCGACCGAAATACTGGGGCAGTGCCACCTCCCCATGTGTGGATTTGGCGTTGTGGACGGCAACTGCAAACCAGGCCGCATCCTTTCCCGACGAGGCGCAGCACAAGGCAGGCACCGCAAGGCATCGCGCAACAGGCTGACTGGGGGGGTCACACTCCGTTGCTCTTTCCCCTTTTGACGCCTATGCCTAACATTGGCCAACCCAGAGGCCATATCCAATAAAATGCCACTGTCCTTCGTCCTGTCATTGGCTTCTTTCTTTCGTTTGGGGGCTGCCCCGCTCCTCCCGGCCGCCAGCTAGCCATCAGCCGCCATTGACTGTGCCTCACTGCACCACCCGACCTGACCTTCAACCCTCAACCGTCTTCACCACCTTGCATCATCTCATCGTTTCTGCCATTGTCAAACTGGTGCGGCCCGCGTCCGTGATGACGGCTAGCTATCCACGAACCCCGCCGTGGTGGAGGCCGCTGGTGGATAGACCAGACTTTAACTTGGATTTTCCGTCTGGAGAGAGCTAATCATGCCGCGAGCTTCTCCAGATGCTTCGCGCATTCTAGAGCCAGGTAGGTGTATCTCAGGGCTGACAATCTGCGGCCCAGAATGAGGCTTCAGATGGTTTTGTATAAAAGGACAGCCACAGCGCAATGCCTTCTCTTTGTCCAACCGCCTCGACTATCTCTTCTGCTTGGCATGGGACCTTGGACGAGGGTTT